CATTTACTCAATCACTGATCCGCCAGGAGGCAGCAGCAAAATTAAGACCAGATTTAGATTCAGAAGCTGTGGCCTGACTGCAGTTCCAGCATCTACTTGTCACATGACATTGAACAAGGCATTTCTCCAGTCTGAACCAGTAAACTAAGGCTAGTGCCTGCCTTACACACTCCATGGGCAGAATGGCCATCTTGCACAACTTCTAGGGATGCCATGCCTATGGAAACTGTGCCAGCCGGAACTGGGCAAGCCAAACCTTGCACCAACCAAATATAGCACCCTGTTTGTGATGTAAAAATGACAAATGACATAAGATGCAATAGCCATAAACACTAGCAAAACAGCAACACAAATATTTTGGTGACATTCTAGAAGAGGATGCTATATCAATAAAAGACATATTTCCCACAAGCTAAAATTTAGTAGCATCAACTTTGCATTCTATCTACTTCAGCCAGTATAGCACCCTAGCATTACATTTGTGACTCAAAAGATGGGAACCATAGAAATTTTAGCAAAACTGGAGGTGTGGCCCCAAACTCAACGCAAGGTAAATATGCTTTGTTATGTGCTACCTATCTCCCTGGTCCCAAGACCAATTTGCCTTCCACATTATATCCCTCTCAAAATATCCTATATTATAAGATGCTTAAAGGGGTCTCTGTTAAAATAGGATGTCATGATGGACATCTAGGTTAAGACAGGAAAATGGGACCCAGAAATATCTGGTCCAAAAGGAGTGTCCCTGGATTCTATGTCCTCTTATATACCAATCCAACAGCATCTCAGAACAGCAGGTCCTAACATCGCCTTGTCCTCCTTATATGGACTGAAAGTTTCTACACCCTCTAAATTCCTGTACTGAAATCCAGTCTTCAATGGGATTGTATTTGGAGGGGAGTTTTTAGAAGGCAATGTTGTCATGAAGATGGAGTCCTTGTGAATGATATTAGTACCCTTAGTGCCCTTAGAAGAGGTCAAAAAACTAGTGTGAGGATCCTCACCAGACCCCATCCACTCTAGCACCATGGTCTTGAACTTCTCAGCTTCTAGAGCTGGAAGAAATAAATTTCTGCTGTTTTTAAGCCACCTAATTTATGCCTTTTTGCTATCGCCATCCAAATAAGTTTTAAAAAAACATATTCCACAGGCTACATACACCCAGGAAAGGAAAAAGACTCCCAGATTCACAACGCCCCCCATCAACTATGGAACCCCTCTCACTCTTCCCCATGTATATCAGAGGTTCAGGTTAGGCAGGTTAAACATTCTAAATCATGTAAAGTCTCTTGGTTCCTTTACTACATTTCCTAGGAGGAAAAAAAAATGGAAAATACTCAAAAGTATTTGTCCCTATGTTAAGGCTTATACCTAGATGTCCTCCCAAAAGTTCATGCAGTCATAGTTGGGGCTTTTCAAAAGTGGCTGGGTCTAGAGTGTGTGATGCTGGGATTAAAGGTTAATAAAATAGCCCACTGATTGGTTTGGCATAGCTCTAGGTGTGGAAAATAGGAAGGTCCACCCTAGGTGTGAGTACTAACACCCTAAGGGTGTGTAGCCTGGATAAAGTATAAGGGACAGGAAGAGGGCTGCTGTTGCTCGCTGCTATCACTTGCTGTTTGCTGTTTTTGCTGCCTCCCATCTTCCATGCCATGAACTGCTTTTTCCCTCTGTGATGCCTCTATGCCACCCTGCCTTGGAGCCAGCCTACTATGGAATGAAATCTCTGCAAAGTATGAGCCAAAATAAGCCTTTCCTCCTTTAACTTTAGGTGTTGGGTGTTTTGCCTTAGCAACAAGAAAAGACACACTACCTCTCCATTTCTCTTTCCACTCCTTCCACTGTCCCAGGTTGTCTACATCAGATGCCTCCTACCATCTGTCCCTTAGTACAAGAACCTTCCTCTCCATTTCCATATAATGCCCTTCTCAGAGCCACTGTCCTAAAACCTAACCTTTGAGCAGTCAGGTTATTGCATTATAGACCACATAGCACCCTACATCCCTGCAGGGCACTATCTGAGCCACAAACTCATCCCAGGCCATGTTTCTGGCTACTTCCCACTGGATGGCTCTTCATTTCAGAACAAGCTTCATATATTCATTCATTCAATGAAGGTTTAATTGAGTCTATAACGTAACTGAGTCTATAATGTATCAGGCACTGTGCTGGGCACTGGAAATGCAGTACAGGGCAAATCCAATCAGGATGTAGGAGCTAACAACCTTTAAGGGAAAACAGACATCAACGAAATAACCACAAAAAGAAATGTGTGGTGTTTGATAAGATCTGTGACGTTTGATAAGAAAATATGCTCTGAGGCAAGAAGGGATATTTGAGCTGATACCTGAAAAATGAGAAGAGATGAATTAGGCAGACAGCCTAAAGAGGAAAGGGGTGGCAGGAGCAGAAAAGAGCACCCCAGGCTGAGGCAGCTTCTCAGCCCGAGAGCCACTCAGGACATTCAGGCCTGGGGTAGGTAAGGGAAGCTGAGTAAGTTAGCAGAGCCTATGAATACCCAAGAGGCTATGCTGAGAATTTGAATCTTTATTTTAAGGGAAATGAAAAGGCATTAAGAGGCTTTAGTGGGGGAGGAGTGCAGTTTGGGGAGCATATGATACGATCACACTTGCATTTGGAAGTGATCGGTCCAGCTGCTGTGAGAAGGCACTAGAAGGCCCAGAGTGGACCTGGACATCTGTCGAGGAGGAAATTGCATCCATTCCAGACAAGAGATGCAGACGTAAACTTGGACAGGCTGCTGGGAGTAGAAAGCAAGCCAAGCAAATTAATTTACCAAACCAGAGTTGACCAAACCAGATGGATGGGCGGTGCCATCCGGAAAGATGGAACTTCAGAATACGATCAGACTTGGGTGAAAAGAACTTGAGAATAGTTTGGCACAGACTGGGTTTAGGGAGCCTTTGAGGCTTTCAGGTAGAAATAACAGGAAAGGATGGAGCTGGAATGGAGATCTGCATTTGGATGGAGATACACATTTTAAAAGTCACCTGCACGTGGATTATAAAAGAAGTTGTAGACATGAATGAGATTGTTTTGTACCACCATTCAAAGCCATCTTCTTTCTATAATCACACCACCTATGCCTGTCCCTGCATGGACAGACAGAGCAGGTCTCGGCTGCCTCACAGTGACCTGATAAGCTCTGTACCTGCTCTTGCTACAGTGGCGCCCCTTGTGCCAGTTCATGGCCACTTTCCTACATATCTGTATTTCTCAATAATGATCCAGGAACATCTTGGGAACAGAGACACTGATACCCTCCTGAAGTCCTCAGCACACAGAGGACACCATTGAGAGAGGGGTAAGGTACAGGCCACCTTTCCGGCCCACAACAAAGCCCCAGGGCACTGCTGCTCTGGAAGTAAGTGACCAGATCAACTCACACCCAACAGCCTTACCTAAGACCCAGCATCAGACTCTCTGAGGTAAAACTACCATTTAATTCCTCACTTCCCCATCCAAGAAGCCAATATTGGTACTGCAGAATTTAAAAAGAAGAATTTCATGGATGTTTTCTGTTACTACAGGTAAGTGAGCAATCAGATTTCTTGGGCATGTATTTCTCACTTAAGGACCTCTGAGGTGCAGGGTTTGGCAGGAAAAAAAAACAGAAGCTCTGTCCTCAAAGACCTTCTAGTGCACTCTCTTGCTCAAAACCAGTACATTCATAATAGCTCAGAACAGTTGTGCATTATTTTATCTGTACTATTCACATCAAACCAAAGCCTGTATCCTCAAGGAGCTTATAATCTTGAGAAAATATAGGACAAATACAGATGTAAACTTAGCATTATTGATGCATGCAGAGTCACTCCTACTCTCTTCAGTTCCTATTTCTAATTAGAAAAAGGTGCCTTTCCTCCTGGCAGACAAAGATCCTCAGCAGGACTTATGACTTGGCTGGATTTAAACCCATGTCCCCTCTGCCCTCATTAGAGATTCTTACACAGTGCACAGCTACACAATGCATATGTGATGCTAGTAGCAGACGTTGTTCGCAGGGGAGGATCAAGGTTGGGTTAAGGAAGACAAAACAAGTACAAGGAAGGCCGCAGGCATGTCCAGCAGCCAATCAGATTGACCAAAGTGAAGGGGCCGCCTGTTGGAATAAAGAAGTAAGAGCAGAAGCCTTAGCTGGGGAGTAGTTAGGTAAAGCCTCAGATACCAGGCTAAGGAATTTTCACTTGACTCTACAGGAACTGAGGAGCCTTTCTAGGGTCATGACTTTCTTTTCCTCAAAGCAGTGCCATGGAGAGTTGACTGCAAATATCAATTCTTTCAAGAAAGTGCTCTCTTGTAGGTCAGGAAGAGTACCATAAGAAAAAAATCCATGTGCTGACATGGAACCCCAGATAACAAGATCTAATCCCTTGTATTTGTAGACTGCCTAAAAATATATGTATTTTATGTACAATATATTTATTGTTACAATAGTCCCACTTGATTAATAGAATGAGAAAGCAGAACAGTTAAGGGCTTTGATGAAAGTCAAAGGGAAAATATACCATGGCAAAGCTGGGATTTGAACCCAGGTCTCACATAGAATCTAGTGTGAAAGGCACTCGGCCTATCCACTCAGCAGGGTCCCTCTATCACCAGCCACCGCTCTATTTGCTTGAGTCTGCCAGCACTGGCTCCTTTCCAAGAAAAGACAAAGCTTCCAAACAAGCAGTAATGACATTGATTATTCCAAGCCAGAGACGAGAATTCTGGATCAGTTCCTTAAAATACTTGCTCAGCAGCACCTGAGTCCTCACCCCTATCACCCTAGTCCCAAGAAAGAAATGTGTAGTATTTCATTAATGTGAAGGGGGAAAGAATTCCCTGCGGATTTTTGCAGTCTCATTTCCCTAGCTTGTCAAATGCCAGCAGAAAGCCAGACTGGCTGCATTGTTAGCTTGGCTGCATCTTATTTTTGTAGTATTTGCAGATTGCAGCAGCCTCCCCCTTTCCCAAACTGGGCAAAAACATATCACCTTTGAGGCTCCTAGAGTATCACTCCAAAGATCTTCCTATTCTCCTTGGGCTTAATAATATTGTATTCTCTTCTTCTAGCACAGCCATATTTTTTCCTAAGGAAGAACATAAAATTTATTTTTAGCATTCCTATAAGATATGTGACCAAAATGTAATGTTTTTAAAAAACAAATAAATGGAAGACTTTCAAATATGTCATGCAAAGCATAAAGGGTATGCTGTTCAGAAGCTTACTTTCAGTTATCGTATTTACATTCTTTCTTTTTTTCCTGTTTCGCCCTTGTGTTACTAAGGAAGTTGGAATGAAAGGAGATTTGTCTTTTTTTCTCAGAGATCAATCTCTCACTGCTGAGCTTCTCCACACCTGAATTCACACATCTCCCACATCATGATAATTACCTCCATGGTAACCACTCATGACATCACAAACACAACATGATAGCAGAAGGAAGCAGAGCTCCTGAGATGCACTTTGATGAAAAAGCCCTATCTGACCTAGGGGGCTTCAAAGCAGAAACAAAATTAATTTCATCTTGAGCCTTTTAGCAGGAAAGTAATTCTCAAAATGTATTCTTGGATTTTTATATTTATTGGATTTCAAAGCTTCCTGCCACCTAGGAGCTTATGAATATGATCAAAGGTCCATGAAATATCTAAAATTTCACCAAAGCACCTGCATGTGAAAACAAGCTAGTGAGACCATTCCAGCTTCAAAACCTCAATCCTTAACTACAGTTAGATCCCTCAGGTATATCTGGGTCAAAAGAAGGACTTCTATGATGCTTTCTTTGTTTTACAGAAAACAATGTGTTCCTGGGAATTTTTTTTTTCTCCTACCTGTTCTTACCTAGCACAAATGAACTGCCCGAAGTCTCAAGCCAATATTAACAGCTATTAATAACTCTGTGGGCAGCAGGCAAAAAAACTGAACACACCACAATCATGTGATATGTACATCACCCAAGCTTCACAGAGGAGAATGGAAACACTTTATTGTAAGATCCAGTGGTGAGATGTGAGATGAATGTCAACATTCGCTCTTCACGGGCATTTTTCTCTACAAATGGCCACAGCTCTGGGGCTTAAGTTTTTATCCCAAATACTATTTAGATCCATCAGGGCTCTCAAAATATGGATTTCACATTGGAGACATCAAAGTGCTAAAACCACTGCAGGTCCCCACCCCCTCCTTTTATAAAATGCTATTGTGAATTCAGGCTGCTTTAATCTCTGTGATTGAAAAAAAAAAAAAAAGTAGAAAAAAGAAAAAAATACGGCTTGAAAAGGAATTAAACTCACAGTCTGGGAGCTGGAAAATAAACATCACTCAGTGAGTACCTTATTTTAATTACTGGCCCAAGAATTTCAATTTACATGTTTTATTCAGCCACAAAAGTACTCACCTATTATTCTCTGAATACCAGATTTTGAAAGGAAACAGAAAATAGAGGAAGAAAGGCTTATTTAAAAGGCCTCCTGGGATTAATCTTTGCATTCTTCTCATTTTTTCCCAAATTTGGGGATAGCATTTGTCATGGAGAATTTGATCTTAGAGAATAAAACACTGGGTTTGATTTGTGAACACCAACTACTTTGGACCACTTATTTTAGCTAACAGAATTTCAGAAGCACAGACCCTAGCATAGGGCTATAGAAGATTTTACATAAATAATGCACAACTATGTTTCCTCTTGAAATGTAAAAGATCAAACTGCTCAAATTCTGTTCGCTGATTGAGCAAATGAGTGGTTGAGTGAATGCTCTGGGGCTCTTTACTCATCCTGCCTTTCTAGGTCCTTCAACTATACTCATATTTTTGAAGTATATTAATTGTTTTGCTTATCCACCTTGGATCCTCAGCCTCTGACAACAGAAAAAGAAAAGCAAAATTAATTTTAGTGGACTTTAATTTCAAAAATGTTTCACACCAGATTTCTAAAGAGTAGAATTCTCAAAATCACTAGGCAATGCCAAAGCTTCAAGAAACCTCACAATAGCTATAACCAAAGAAAGATGGCTGGCCGGCTGATTCTCCACAGACTTGCAGTGATACCTGAGAATGAAGCACCTTTGGTTATGAAGGAGCAACCTTTCTATTAAGACTTGAGCCCCTGACTCCCCTACACAACCAACCAGTCAACAGTGGCTAATGCAGATCTAACTGAGCTCCTACAATGGACAAAGAACTCTGTTAGATGCTCTGGGAGATAAGAAGATGTTTCCTGTGTGATTCTTCAGGAGCTTATTAAGGGAGGTAAGACCACTACAGACACAATTATCAGTTACAGTTGATAGGTGTTTCAAAGGTTATAAGGAAGCCAGGCCTGGTGGCACATACCTGTAATCCTAGAACTCTGGAAAGCTGAGGCAAAAGGATAGCAAGTTTGAGCCCAGCCTAAGCAAATTAAACACTTAGCAAGATACTGTCTCAAAATTTAAAAAAAAAAAAAAATGGATTGGGGTTATAGCTCAGTGCCGAGGCCCCAAGGTCTATACTCAAGACCAAAAAAAAGTTTAAGGAACAGGAGACTACTTCCAAGTAGGGAGACCATTATAGGCTCTGTAGACATTGGAAGAGTATGGGGACTGAGCAGAGAAGCAATGAGGAGGCATATATAAGCAATGGCCCAGAGACAGAGTCTGAGACATATTTAGAATAATGACCAGAGCACTGGCTTTGTGGGGTGTCTGCCATGGCTAGGGTACAGAACAGAAAGAGGATCTTGCAGGTCAAACCACACATCCAAGAGTAACAATACGGTCAACATGTGATCCCAAGATGTGAGTGGGAATCCAAGGAGAGAAGAAAAGGGATGACATGAGCCTATAATGTGAGTTCAAAAGGAGACCTCCACAGCCTGAGGTAGAGATAGTGTTCCTCTAACTTGCTCTGGGAGGAACAAAGTAAAGAAAAGAAGAAACAGTCAATTTTTAAGTCATTGAACTTTAGGAACCTGGCCAACTTTGTCCTGTTTGGCTAGAATGGATTTACTGAGATTTTCATAGGTGCAGTAGCTTACAGTACATATTACTTTCCTGTTACTAGGGATTGAATCCAGGACCTCGTCCCACTAAGCTACATCCTCTGCCCCTTAAGCAGTAGCATTCTAAAAGAGCCACTCTACTTCTGATATACTTAAAAACCAACCATGACATATTATTCACTGTTTCTGGGATGGCTATGATCCTAAAGACAGCATGTTAGGGAATAATTCTCTGTCAAACCCAGAGTCCTCAGATCCACACTTGGCAAGGTTTTATGTGTCCAAAGTACTGATGGGAAGCTCTGGGCTGGAAGTCAAGGGAATGTTCCTGGCTCATCCTGGCTAGACACTGACTCCCTGGGGACTTTGGGTGAGTGTCTTCTCCTCTCTGGGGCCTCATTTCATTTCTAAAATGAGGATGCTGGATGTATTTGCTTCCATACTTTGTACTCTATGAGTTGGGATAAAGTAACGGTCCCAAGTTCATGCAGCTATGTAGAAATGAGACCCTGGACAAGACCCTGCATCTCCTGGTCCATTGATCTAGTACCTTTCCAAAATCTGAGCTACATGAGCAAGAGGTGTTGACGGTAACAGGTAGCAGTAAGTGGTTACTGCATGCCCGGTACTATCTCTCGTTTGTACACATTGTGTCTGGTTAGTCCTCACACCAGTCATTTGAGTGAGATAAATTTTTCAAATCATTTTACAGGTAAGAAGCAAATACAGACAGATGAAGTCACTCACCCATAACCACACAATTAGTAGATACAGAGCCAGGATTTGAAATCAGACATTCCAGTCCCAGCACCCATTATCTGTCATCTTTATTCTCCACACTACAAAGTAGAATAAGAAGTAGTTCAGTAATATAAAGGACATGGAAACCTTAAAATAGAAAATATGGCAGTTTTCCAGTGGTGAATTCACATTGGACACAGGCAAGCTTTCAGAAGAAATATTTTGGCCAGTGTTGCTTGCCTGCACACCTCTCTGTTTCCCTCCCCACAGATGACCACATGAACAGTCCCTGGGGGGTCATTTAAGATCCAGTGGTCTTAAATGTGGTCTAAATGGATTATGGATAATGACCACATAGAAAGTCAGGAGATATTGTCCTCCTGGCTGACTCCCCTAGCTCATAAGACAAGGAAAACCAAAACCACCAGATTGTTTTTGCTACCAAATAAAACCCAAGAGGAATCATCATCTTAATATCTCCAGAGAGCTACGCTGACATCACCTCCAGGACACACACAGGCACACCCACAAGAACACAACTTGCATTCATAGCTGAGCCAATGTAGGCATTATTTTAAACAAAGTAAGGGGCGGGAGGACTCTGGAACTCTAAAACTTCTTTCAGAGGCCTGTACTACATCATTTGTATACTTTCTTTTACCTACAATGCCAAGAGCTTTATTGTAGGGTTTTTTTGAGCTATTCTTCAGGTTTTCCTATTACTAATTAAAATGTGTTAGTATGGTAGAAAGAACCCTGGCTAGGGACGGTAGCTTTGTATCTAGTTCAGCACCTTCACCAACTGGATTCTTGACTTTGGCTGCTCGTTTGACTTTCCTGAGCCCTGATCCCTCATGTATAGTGAGGGAGGTGATCTTCTCTATGAGTCAGCTAAGGATCAGGAGCCCACGGAATCATGGGTTTTGCTGGATGGATCCTCTGAACGAAATTGTGATCCATGAAGATTAAATTCAAATAAAAAATAAGAGGCAGTGAATGTGCTCCTGAAATTGGAATTAAGTTCAGATAAAACACTCTGCCTCTGTCTAGTACTAGAAGCTTGACTTGGCACTGACCTGCTGCCAGGCCCTGGGGGTTCCTCAGTCCATCCACACAGCAAGGAGAGTGAAAGCTCCTTCCCTGAGGGAAGGAGAGGTGCTGTTTGCATGAAGCAAAGCTCTGCAATCCTTCCTGACCTCCCTGGAGGGAAGGCTTGCCTCCTGCCCAGGGAGAGCTTTGGCGGTAAGGAGAATAGAATGCAGGACATAATGAGCTAGACAGACAGGGCTGAAAATTAAACCAGATATGAGGCTGCTGGGCCTTTCTGCTGTGTTGGCGCCCTTCTCCTTAAGCCTCATGAGTCTGCCTCAAGAGAATGAAACCCTCTATTGCATTCTTGACACTCAAAAACCAGGATGGTGGATGTTTCTTCACAGCCTTCCAGTCTTGGGTTGTATTTATCAAAATTTGTATTTCTCCAGGCCTCTAGAACCCTTGTAATGCTATCATAGGAAATAGATTCGCTTTATTCAGAGTTTGGTATGATTTCCTCTGAGTAGAGTTACATGTCAGTACTCTAAAAGGAACTTCTCATTTCCCACTGCCCAAGAGGGGACAGGGCTGCAGCTGTTTATTAATGCACTT